CTTTTAGAGAAATCTCCTGAGTACAAGCTTTTCACTCCTCAGTGCTGGTATTTTCACAGGGAAACAAATACTTCATTCAGTCTACGACCATACAGAAATCATGCATGACTCTATCCATTGTGAAACTCACCCTTCTTCACAGTAGACTTGAACAATACAATTACTCTTAACCAGATTCAACTAGGTAATTCCTCTATTTTCTTAAAACAAAAAAGGGCATTCAACTTCATCTGGACTATGCTCGTTTTATCTCAACCTCTAGATGGTATTGTGAAAAGCATGATCAGGTGCTGTTACACAAAGATTTCAGAAATTGTTCAAGGCAATCAATTTGGATTTGAACTCCTCTCTTCTTTGACTTCTGGCCTCTCACCCAAGGGAAGTCTAAATTCACTATCCAAGGTAAACTTTTTTTAATGATTTGTGAGCAAAAAACTAGGAAATTCAAAACACTGAAAACAAGTAGATGCTGACATCTTTGCCAGATCCTAAAGCAGCATATAAAATGTTCCATGAACTGCAATTTCCAAGCAAACAGTCTGAAAGTTGTATACCAAAGAAACAGTACTGTATGCAAGGCTCAATTTGAATCAAAATTGAGTCATTCCTAAATGTTTACAGAAACATGCTGATTAACTCAAAAAACCCTTTCTTCTAAGATAATTTAACTCATGTGACATATTCAGTTATCTATAGAACACAAAATAGAGCCACACGTGTTGGCAAGATCACCATCTCCCCAGAGAAGCATACTCAGACTGGAGTAACATGAGAGAATTCTAGAAACCTTCTGACAAGATCTTATCTATTCTGGTGCAGATAGAACAGGAAAAGCATGAAGAAAAATGTTTCCTCTCCACAAACCCGAAGTATTTAGGTTTTATCTGGTTCTTCCAGACTATATCCAACAACCCTTTCCTAAAAAGGAATTTTGAAAGCATTATGTTCTATCTGCGTAAGACACTTCCCAATATTTTTGATTTTATCTTAATTATTCATTTCAGCTTCACTTTATTCATTTTGGCGTCACTTCCTTACTATAACATACTGTACACATCACTGAGCACATTTGCAAAATTTTTTTTTCAGGTGAAACAGTGCATGATTGGGGCACATTATATATTGTTTGTGCATGTTAGAAAATCCTCACAAACATAATCACAGTTTCTTAAGTGTATGTGTATATATACACACATAGACATGAGTATAAAAAAAATAGATGTTACTGACAATCTCTCAATAGCAAGAAAACAAAACCTGAAATTTTATTGCTGGCTTACTATTTTTGAAAAAGGGAATATTTTTATACTGCCATTTACCAAAGATTTTGCATTAGCTTTTATCAACATATTCTGTCAACACTGCAGGCTGAATTATTATCTATGATGTCTTGAGTAATAGAAAAAAAAAATTAAAAGTAATCACATTAACTGTAGTCTATTTGTAAACCAGTAGAGAGCAAAAGTGGTTATAACCACTGTAATCACTTTTTCAATAACTTCCCTGAAAACCGAGCAGTACATGCTGGGTTGTCAGACAGAAGTGCCAAACCCTCCTCATTACCTGAGGAGTGAAAAGTAGATCCAGTGCTATAGTTGAATAAAATATTAAAGTGTCTGCAATTTGCTGTGCAACTGTGAAATATGTACATCCACTGAACAAAACCAGACCATTATATTAAAGGTAAAAATTTACTTCTGAGGAAGAAAGTTATGTGGCTGCTCTCTCCTTTCCAGGAACAGCAGCTTTTAGCTGCTAACTTATGCCCATATGCCCATGGTCCCACGTGACATGATCAACAGACCACAGTAACAGAAAAACTAATTGATGTCTTAATGTTAACCAATTACCAACCAACATGAACACCACAATCCTGACTTTCCCCATTCATCAGGAAGCAGTCTTGTTGAAACAAAGATTTATTAAGCTATTCTTCCTGGCTAGTTCCTGCAATAGCAATAAAAATGTGCCTTCTAGAATAGCGTATAATACAGAAGGAAAACTGCCACTCAAACAGTTTGATCATCAGTCAAATCCCACATTTAATAATTTTCAAATACAACTCCCATACCACCATCTCTAGCAACAACAACAAAGATGTTTTTCCAACAATTATTTTAAAATAGAATTTCCTAGAAAGAAGTTACTATTGAGAATACTTCTAGCCAGTTTAGAAACCTGAATATTTACATGCCAATTACAGAACTCTGGGATGAATATATAGACACTGAGTTTATAATCCTTAAGAAGAAACAGAAGTGGTCTTAACTAAATGCTAACAAATTTTACTTTGGTAACACTAGTTGAAGTTGCAAGTAAAAATGATGTTATGAAACAGAAGTGATTATTAAAAAAAAAAAAAAAAAAAAATATGTTGCTAAAAGTTGGTGCCTGTGCCTGAACAAGTAGGGGCAAGAAGAAAGGGTGTGAAAATCCTTTTCCTGATTAGTCATGATCTGCCTGATGCACAGACATCAGAATGAAAAGAAACA